TGTCAACAAGCGACACATTTAACCGGCCAACCAGGGTACACAGCAGCTTACGGTAGACCTTACAACCAGTGGAACATGGTCAGGCCTCAATTAACGCAGCCGCCGCAGTATGGGCGTAAACGAGCCCTGTTGTGTGGCATTACTTACAAAGGCCACAGCAGAAGCCTTAAGGGCAGCGTGAACGATGTCTTGTACATGAAAAACCTCTTGCTCCACACCTTTGCATTCCCATCTTCCTCTATTCTTGTGCTCACAGGTATTCATATTCCCCTGCATCACTTAATATTAAATTAATCTTAAAAGATAGAAATGATTACAAAAGTAGCTTAGAACCAATCTAATTATTATTCCAGAAGAAGAGAAGCATCCTTCTTTTATCCCGACAAAGAAGAACATTCGGGCCGCCATGCAGTGGCTTGTCCAGAGCTGCCGCCCAGGGGACTCACTGGTGTTCCACTATTCGGGCCACGCCTCACAAGTGAGGGACCGAGACTGGGACGAGGTCGATGGGTTTGACGAGTCGTTGCTTCCAGTTGACTACGAGACAGAGGGAAGGATTCTGGACGACGAGATCAATGCAACCATCGTGAGGCCACTGCCAAGTGGGGCCACACTTCATTCCATAGTCGACACCTGCTTTTCCGGCACGCTAATGGATCTCCCTAACATCTGCAGGATGAACAGGTCATCGTTTTTACGCAAAAATAATCGCACTTTTAGTCCTTTACGATTGAGATTTTGATTTTTTATTATTTTTTTATTTTTTATCAGGGATGGATATTATAAATGGGAGGATCACCGTACTCTGCATGCATACAAAGGGACGAGCGGCGGTTATGCAATCTGTATCAGTGCATGTGATGATTATCAGAACTCAGGGGATACTACAGTAAGTATTCTTATTCTTTTCTTTCATGTTTCTACAATGAACATACAATTCAGAAAAGTCCTTTTAAATCCTTGTATGTCAATATAGATAGATCTGTTCGATAAAAAGATCATTATATATGGTGGTTTAGGCCTTTACAGGTGCTCATGTGGGTGCACTAACTTATAGCTTTTACCAAACTTTGAGAGAACAACCTCGATTAACTTACGCTCAGCTGCTTAGTATCATGCACAAGAAGATAGATGCTGCACGACAAGAAGTTGGCTTGACTAGCAACGAGCCCCACAAATCCCAGGTGCGATTAGTTTTTGTACCGCAATTTTCTTGTTATTATTAACATTATGTATGTTTGTTTAAATGTTTTCGATATCTCCTGGGGAAAAATAAGACACTAGTCTTATGGGGAAAAATAAGACACAAGTCTTATTTTTCTTGATTTTTTTTCTAATGGTGATTTCGTCGTGTCTGCAGGAGCCGCTACTTTCATCTTCTCACAAGTTTGACATTCACTCAAAGGCCTTCACTTTATAAAGAGATTGGCTGTTATCTTCAAGCTTGATTAGCTGCTGCAAATAAAAAAACCACAAAGACTTATTACTGCTTGATCAATTTTCATTTCACACGAATTGTTCTATTATGTTTGCAAATGATGTACGTGTTGAGTAGAAGTTCAATGTTCGATATGAACTTGCCGAGCTTTTGTAATGAAACGCCCATAACGAATAGCGGCAAATGAAATTTGAATAAAGCCATGGTTTGTAGCTCAAGTGGGACATTCATCCAAGATAAGGGTGTTGTACTGATTTGTCCAGTTCGATCGATGTACCGTGTGATGCACGGGACCACCATTATAAGTGGTATGAATTAGCTAGATCAGAAATAATTTTTAGATTAATTAAAGTTACAACAATGTATGTGTTTATAGCTAAATAAATTATTTTTTCTTTTTATTTTTATCATCATAAATTATTTTCTTCTTCTTCAAAAAATAAATAAATAAATAAAAATAAAAAAATAATAATCATCTCATCTTCTGTTGGGCCTCTGTCATCTCATTTGTCTTCAATCTCACAGGAGAAAAAATGGCCAGAAGTTCAGCCGGCGGGGATTTGGATTTCTCGATCGATGAACAATTTTCGGATCGACCAATTTCCCTTGCTTACATAGGTGTATACTTTGTGGAAAGAGCATTCATATTCCCATCTTTGTGTGTGTATTTTTTTACAATTCTACCTCATTTAATCCTATCAATGATCTGTTATTTATGACATAAAATATGTTGACTATCTACATTAAAAGATAGTCTTGGCATTTAAAAAAAAAAAAAACTTCTGCATGGCTTTTTTATAAATGGGGGTATTAAATTTGGATTATGTACAAAATGCCCCTATACAGAAACACATCATTCCATGAAAACCGTATCAAACACAGCCTCGGTTCCTCTCTACATCTATAATGCCAATGATAATCGAATGCCTAGGCAAATCATTCAGATGAAGATTAATGTACATTGTACAGTAGTGTACACTGTAAACAGATGCGAAAGAAAACGAAGTCAAGTCATAAATATGTATGTACGTATATAATCACTGAAAAAATATGTTCGGTTTTGTTTCAGACCCAGAGTCCAAGTATTTTCATCAAGGGCTGCTCCAGAAAAGCATCTTAGGCCAATGAGATGACTGATCAGAACCAACAAGAAATGATTTCAAAAGCTTTGCAAACTCCCTCGGCTTCTCAATGTTCATTGCGTGCCCTGCGTTCTTTATGATTTCTAATCTCGCATTAACCCCTATATGCCTGCAAAAATATGTCACTGCACGTTTACAAGACTAGTAAAAACCTAAATGATCTTTCAAAATATTGCTGAAAATAGGATTCCAAACAAATTGAACTCTGGCCTCTGCTAAATCCGCTCATAGCTAAAATCCTTCACGTGACATAATAAAAGATATACACAAAATTTTGCAGAAGCATGCATTGGATTGTTTTTGTGCACGAGTTATGATTGATTACCTTTGGAGCCGGCGCCCCAACTCGAGTGGAAATATTCTGTCAAGCTCCCCCCATATTATTAATGTTGGCTGTAAAACCAGGGGCACTTGTCTTATTAGTATGATGAAAATGCTTCACAACTTCTTCTAGAATTAGAAAAAGATTCCTGAATCCGAACCTGTTCAATCTTCGGAATCTTGGAGAGATTCCTGTCCTTGATTAAAGCCCGAAGAAGTTCCCTTTTCTGTGTCACCTGATCCGTACAGAAAACCTGGCCATGAAAGAAAATAGGCATTTTCCACAGCCGCATTTAAACCATGTCTCGTTATCCAGAAGAACACTCAAGACACACACAAAAGTTTTCTATTTGACATCAAAATTTTGCAGCATCTTCTATTTTAATCAAGTAAAAGCAAAATCACAGTTGAATTTGCAACCTACTAATAGCCCTAAACAACTTGGTTGTGTTTCCGTTCTGGCATCGTGAACACTCACCCAAATACTACAGGGTAGGTCCCGTAATTAAAGTCAGATACTTTAACGAACCAAATGACTATTTAAAACAATAATAACACAAAAACTATACTGATATGCTGTCCAAAATTTGGATTTTGAAGCACTATTTCAAAAAGATCACCTGTGTCCCACAAGTCTCTGTCTAGCTACTTAGCCGTCTAGGTCCCGTCTAGCCTCTGTCTAGTCCTATTTATACCCAAATCCTACTTATTATACAAGACACATTACTTGTGGCTAATCGTACTTATGCCCCTCTAGAGCTTCTTGGCACATTGATTTACATTTTGAAGCAAATGAACATTCACAACTCAAGAAAACTCCATAATACATAAATCACAAGTCCGAGCTCATATCAGTAAAACATAGACATATTATCACTAATTACAAATACGATCCAAGGGCACGAATCAAATTTACGACTATATAAACACGAATTCTACTTATTATTTTTTTTTTTTTTTCTGAACAAAAGTAACAGCCATGGGCGGAGCCACCCTTGGACAAGGGTGGGCTCCAGCCCCATGTAATTTTTTTTCTTCTTTAGTTTAGTATAGATTATTTTATTTGTAGCCCCATTTAAATATTAGTCTAGCCCAATTTAGCTTATATGTTTTTAGGAAGAAACTCAATAATTTATTAATTTTTATCTCAAAAGTAGAAGAGGTTTGAGCATTTTTAATAAAAAAACATGCACAAATTATTGCTTATTCTAATTTTATTTTACAATTTTTTAAGAAGATTGTTAATTAATATTTGTTTTAATAGTGATTTTCTTATGTTATGTAATGATCAAGAGCTAATAGGAATTGATCTGTGATGAAAAATTTAAAAATATACTTAGTTTGGACACAAAGTTATTTGATGAAAGCACAACTAAATATTTGAGATAATAAAATTTAAATTTGTATAGGCTAAAATTTGCATATTTAAATATATATACTTTCTTTTATCGTTTAACATGTTGTGTTTCTTCTTATTGTTTTCTTTTTTATTTTGGTTGATTCATATTGAATTATGTTATTTGAAATAATATTGGTTATTTATGTAATTTATATTACATTACATATGGAATATATCAATTAATTTATATTTTAATTTACATATTTTGTTTCTTCTAGAATTCCAATAGAACATTTTTTTTGTGATTCGACTTATGGATTTTAATAATTTAGATTTGGCATTCATTGGATTCTTAAAATACACCTTCATTCATTTAACTTTGTAATTCATGTAAGTTGTATTGGATATTAAAAAGAATTATTTTCATATATTGGTTTCTTATGGCATCTAGCTAAAGATGTTATTCGAGCCGAGGCAAGCGGGATATCTCATGTTCGAACTTGTGATTATTTAATAAACAAGCTTGATTAGGTATTCGAGCTTAGGCTTTGAAGTGTATGAAATAGTTGAGTTCGAGCTTTCACGTGCCAAAAATGAATTGTGTTCGTGAATAGTTTGATCCGAATAATAGCTCAATGTTAAACAGCCCCAGGTAGAAAAAAATCCTGGCTACGCCCCTGGTAACAGCACATAGCAAAATAAAATAGAAAGGGCAAAAAACTCACATCAATGTAATCGGAGAGGAAGCAAGTGGGGACCGCCTTGACCGGCCTGACGAACGCAAAGCCAATCAGCTCCCTCAGCTTTGCCGGCGTCTGCGGCATCAGTATGTTGGCCGCCTCGTCCACGTCAGCCACCTCGAACAGCCCCTCCCTCAGGTCCCTCTCCTCCAGGCACACCCCCGTGCAGCACAGCACCACCTTCTCCACCGCCTCCGGGAACTCCGCCGCCAGGCTGTAGGCCACGAACCCCCCGTAGCTGATCCCCACCACGCTCGCCCTCGCCACCCCGTGCGCCGCCATCAGCCGCATCACGCACCGCGCCTGGAATCCCTCGCTCCGGTCGGGCAGCGGGGTCGTGGACTCCCCGAAGAAGACCAGATCCGGCACGTAGATGTTGAACCGCGGCATCAGGTGACGGAGGAGCTCGCCGTACTGCCACATCGCGTTCGCCCCGAAGCCGTGGACCAGAAGGAGGTTGGGCTTCGCCGGCTTGTGCGATTTGGGGACCCAGCAGTGCATCACGGTGCCGCCGTCGTGCAGGCCCGTCTTCACGGATCGGAGACCCGAGTAGGAGAAGAAGCTCCTGTAGAGGAAATCGGCGGAGCCGGTGAAACTCAGGCACCTCGCCATTTTTCCCGACGAGAGATGCGAAGATTCCGATTTGCCCAACAGAAGAAGATTATTAGTTTGTTTATTTATTTATTTATTTTAAATTTTTGGCTGGTAAAAATGAAGGTGCGATTTAATGGTGTCCATTTTTTTATGGATTTGTGGGATTTGTTTGAATGGACAAAAGCTTTTTGATACGAACCATTTTTATGGGTGATCTGATCTGTTTTGATTTTTAAACGTTTGGATTTTTTTTTTGTAGTTCAACACCTGCAGATTCTCTGCATGCCATGCCAAGTCATAATAACTCTCTCCTTCAGTATTTTAGAAAAATGCATACGGTCCGGTTACGGAAGCATCGGGTTTGAAACCGTTAAATCATCATGTAACCGTCAAGGATAATTGATCAAACAGTTCTAAGCCTCGACGGAATTATTCCGTAACGGGACTGCAGCATCTCCCTAAATTTTATCAGTGGATCAACAAGAATGTATGTATTATCTAGGGGTGAGCGTGGGTCGGTTCGGTTCGAAGATTGATAAATCTCCAGAACGGTACCAAACATCGGAGATCCCAAAATTCGATCTCTGGAATCGTACCAGATCGGTTCTGTTTGGTTCGGATATATTTATTTCGGTTCGGTTTGGTGATTTGGTATAGTTTGGTTCGAATCTTCGATTTTTTTTTTATTTAAATTATTTTTGAATGTCTACCTAGTTATATTTTAATTTTTATATGCTTTAAAAAAACAACATTCATCAATAATTCATCATATTGAAGATTTTATTTTGAAATCAATTCTAGAAGTAACTCTAAATTTTAGTTATTTAATTTTTATATGCTTTAATAAAGATTTTATTTTGAATATTTTATTCATTAGTACTTCCTCACATTAAAGATTTTATTTTGAAATTAACTTTATAAGTAACTCTAAATTTTAGTTATAACTAAATTTGTGCAACTAATATAGAAAATTTAAATTTCAAATAAAATATATATTTTTTTCTTAAAAAATATTCTTTAAATTTTCATATTATTTTAAATAATTATTTTATAATAGCAAAAATTCAATTGTAGATTAAATATTACTAAGAATGAAATTTGAATGAAGGTTAATATTTATTAGTATATTATAAAGAATCAGAGGTGACATAAAATATATTAATAACACATTCAATGTTATAATTCGGTTATTAATTTCGGTTCTTCGGTTCGGTACAGTACGGGACGGTTCGATTTGGTTCTCGGTACGGATATTTGTGAAATCTCCAGAACCGTACCAATTATTTTTTCGGTTCGGTTAGGTTCGGAGAAAGTCAAACAGTCAACAGTTATTTTTCGGTTCAGAGTGATTTCGGTTCGGTTTTCGGAACGGTTCAGAATTTTCCAAGTCCCATGTTCTTATTTGTCTGTTTTATAAATATTCAATTTGATATATATAAAAAGAGGGTTGCTAATAAACTGTTTGCAAGCACAACTCGATTCGGCTAGTTTGTTTAATTAAATGACACGAGTTGGCATATCTAAATAAGCTTGTTCATTACATGAAATGGTTTTTTTTTATGTTTCGAACAAATAGCCCAACTGAGGAGGTTTGCAATTGCACATTTATAATTTTGGATATGTTAAATGAGCTGAGTTGGGCCATACTTTCACGACCTGGGCTCGCTTTGACCGGTTCGTTTAAAATGAGCATCAATTCGAACACAAAACACTCAACTCGACTTAGCTCAAATAATACCTCTTAATATGTATATTTATAAAAATAATATGATCGTCTAATGATTAGAGAGTCAACGGGTTCATTGATATTCTTGGTATAGTAGATAGTACATGCTATCAGATATACAATCATACACAGATCGATGGAATTGTTTGATCTTAAAGGAGATCTTCTATAATTTCGCACGTGAGTGGTGATATGTTGGTTCCCTCTCGTCATTAATAACTTGATTATTTTTAGATAATAGGAGTAAAAGACCCTCCTTGCCCAATCTTATACACTCTAAGATTCTTTTTTCAAACATGCTTCCATTTCGAGTCAAGAAATAGAAAAATAGACACGTCTCATTGCACTGATCGGGGGTGTTCGTGGTGACTGAGGGGGTCGAAGACCAAAAAGTGAGTTATTTATACCAAGTATTCTTCTTATGGCTAGATCCAATCTCCTGGTCCCTGCGAAAAGAAAAAAGAATTTCACGCTCTTCCTTTTGGGAAGGGAGTATTAGGGAAATCATATTGATTGCAGCTTTATCCAGACTTTCGAGAAAAGCATGAAAAAGAAAAACGACTCGAATGGTACACTTCCTGCCTTTCGGATGCAAACCTTCTCTTTTTTGACTTTACAAGCTTAGCATCTTTGTACACGTTCAACACACAAAAATAGAGGGAAAATAGAAAGTTGTCAAGGGATATCTCGATTTACTATATTACAATTACATAATACCCGTTTTTTTATTAAGCATCATTTTTTTCTATATATATATATATATCTATATATATATATATATATATATATATATGTGTGTGTGTGTGTGTGTGTGTGTGGGAAATGCTAAGATCCTGTTACGGAACCATTTCGTCAGGGTTTGTAACCGTCAGAAATAGTTGATCTAACGTTTACAAACCCCGACGGGATGGTATCGTAACGAAACCGTAGCATCTTCCTATATATATAGCAATGACACACAAATACATGGATGTACTTAAGATAAAGAGACTTAGAGCTTGTTTGGAAACACTTTTCAAATGGACTTTTGGATGCAAAAGTCCATTTGGATAAATATTTATGTTTGGTGCTAAGTTATGAATGGACTTATGGATAAGTTGTTTCTCTAAAAAGTCCATTATGTAGAAGTAAATGATAAAGACTTATGGAGAAGTCCATTTTGGAGAAGTCCATATCTTAAATGGACTTTTTGAGAAGTGTTCCCAAACAAGCACTTACACTTCCACATCACATAGACATCAAGTTCGTACCTTTTCGATGGGATACCTTCACACCAAAAAACTAGCGTTATGCGATTACTATTTTCTCTCGAACCAAAACCCCAAAATATCATAGAAAAAAAAAGTGATAAATAAACACAACATTCTGTCTTGGTAAATGCACAAGGTTTCTTTCAATCAAAGTAGGGTTTTTTGTCACATTAGGATTTGCAAAAGAAGCCCTAATTTCATGTCAAAACTCAAAATAATGATTTTCATTAGAAATCCTATTTTCATCTCCAAATTAGGCTTCCATACGCAAACAAATAAAATCTGTAGAATCTTTCACTTTAAAATTAACATATGTTATGTGGAGAGAGCATTGTGCATCCGAATCTCTTTCGAATTGCTAGAAAGATTTGTCCTCCATAAATTCATATTAGAACAAGGAATAAGATTCGGATACAATAATAACTAGTATAATGTCCGTGTATTATACGAGTGTTTGCTAAATTTTTTTCATAAAATTTAAAAATAATAAAAAAGAAATAGTTGAAAATTTAAATACATCTAATAAAAAATATATGTTATTATATATTTTAGTATGACACTTGTTATTTGTGCGACTTACTTGTGTTATATTATAATAATTATTCTAACTCATAACATATAACTATACTAAACATAATATATTAATTGAGAAATAATTTTATTTTTATAATTAGTTTTAATAAATATTTTTTATTATTAAAATATAAATGTAATTTATTTACTTTATTATATACAATCTGCATGTCAAATCGGAGCTCATAAAAACATGATTAATTTGATATATTATATATGTAAAACCGATAAAAATTACAAAAATTATCAACTTTTAAAACACGTTTACAATTCAATAGTTATAATAAGAAATGATATTAAAATACAATTAGTACATCTAAAATGATCATAAATAAATCAACATTTATAGTAATTCAAACCTAATTATTTTTGAATTGTAATTAAATTAAAATTTATCCAAGCCAAATACTACAACATGGAATTTTGACACCTAAGATCCCGAAACATGCGAATTTGCCACTTAGGCTCAGCACATTCGGGAATTATATATAGGGAAGATAATAATAATAATAATAATAATAATAATAATAATAATAATAATAATAATAATAATAATAATAATAATAATAATAATAATAATAATAATAATAATAATAATACATCAACTATTATATGATAGCACCGGATCAAAGGTCATCGAACATAGTCCTCAATTAATTACTAGTCGATTAACATGAAACGAAACATATAAAGAGTGTATGGTTAGCTTAGCTAGGCCTGTCCTATTATTTCATCCTGCGGAAATCCCCTTCAAAGAATACAGTACAAATATCATCATCCAAATTCCCACAGGATTTGACATTCTTATACCACCATATATTTACAAAAGAAATGAGATAAACTCCCAATTTTACTTGTAAAGATAAGCAACAATATGAGGTTAGGCACAGTCCTAGGAAGACGGTTTACACACACTCATTCGAAAGCCAAAGACATGAAAGTATCGTCATCCAAGAGGCTTTCGATATCAAGTAAATCCTCCTCGGGGTAATTTACATTTTCAATGCTTTCTGGAATCGTGTCTGAAGTCTCCTCCTGAAAAAAATACGTATGAAAAACTATTACGAAATCTGGGGTGAACATGTTCAAATACGACTAGAAAAATGGCAATGATGAGTGCAAGAGGAACCAAAACAATAACAATTATCTCGATTAATTTTCTAACACATAGTATAATATACCTGCAGGTCAAAATGGTATGCATAGATAAAATCTGAGTAGTTTCTTCATGAGAGAATGAAAGCAAAAAAAATCATGGTGAAAGACTTGACTCGTAAAGAGTAAAGGTAGCCACCCAGATCAGTTCAAGTCTTTAATTTCTTTCAGAATTCTAAGTTTGGGTAAGGAATGACTTGGGATACTGTTAAAAGTGCATTGCAAAAGATGCCGCATGCTGTGCTGTATGTCAGACAAAAGGTCCATACTGATGTGGAGAGTTGGGTTAAGATAATTACCAAAAATTTTGTTCCTACATAAGTGTTCTCTCGAGAATCTTTAAGAACAGTTAATAGTAAATTTTACTTGCATTCACAATTATCAAAGCATGGTGAAAAATTGCTGTGCACCTTCAGTACATAGCTATGCGTACACTTGATTTAAAAACATGATAATAGGTACCTTAGATTCTCTGAAGTCTTTAGCAGCAGTCAACAGCCTACGGTACTGAGCTCGAGCTTCAGGGTATTGAGTCATGGACTTCACCCTAGAAAGTGCTTTTTGCATCCTCTCTTCAGTTTGTTTTCTCCCTTCTTTAAGAAAGTCATAATCATCTTCCTGTGAAAAGGTTTCCTGTGCGTTTGGCACTTTCGGGACAGCATCAGACCGGAATCCACGTAAGCCACTTCGCTTACGCCTCCATCGCAGGATCACCTTCTCCATTATCCCCACTGACCAGATAATAGGTTTATATTTCTTCCTGACCTGATGCCCCCTGAAGTGAGCCTATCAACCACAAAAAGGAGTTAATTCTAGTAGAATGAGCCGCATGTAACCAAAAAAACTCCACTATCAACTAAAAAATAAACAGTCGGATAATAGTTAAGGGCAAATGTCACCCTCAACTAAGAAGAAATGCCATTTCCAATATATAGAAGATCCATTGAAAAGTGTTGGCATCTTAAAGCTTATGAACAAGATCTCAAGGTGACAGACTCCATTAGTTTTTATCATTTTAGAGGCAGATTGACCATTAGCAAAATCTTGAAAGATCCATTATCTTATTCTGTCCCAACACTTCAAGAACTCGCTTTCAGAATATGATCCGACATCTTATCAGGTCCAGAACATATCAAAATATGAAAGAGCTTATCGAATCTTTCAAAGAGTTGGTAGCCATAGATCCCAGTAAAAAGTGATAAATCCATGTGACGGACAGAAAATCCGCACCTGGATCTTCACAACTTTCTGCCGAATCAACAGGAACTCTTTCCGCTTCTTCCAACCACGAAACTTTTTCTGGATACGCACTGCAGCAGCATTGGCCGTACGACCCGACTGGCCCAAGCCAGAGGCTCTAGTGGCAGTAAGAGAAATTGCACGCTCGTCTGGACCCAGCAGCCCATCAACACCCTTCTCGACAAACTGCTTCCTCTGAAATGACTGAATCCGGAAAATCTGATGTATGCGTGCAGCCGCCTGAGTGGCGTTACAGACGGCTGCAAGTGAGTCCTTGAGGGAGAGCGCGTCCGGCACGTCACCCTCGCCTGTCGAGAGTGCCGAACGTTCGGAAACTGTCTGTACTGCTTTGGCTCCTGAAACCTCTGATGTGCTTTGATCATCAACTCCGAGGTTTGAGAGTTGGGTGGTCAGGGAAGACTCAGCGAGAAAACCGGATATCCCTTTGTGCCCACTCAAAGAGGCCAGATCAGCAGGGGTTCTGGCCAGAGGGCATTCAGCAGATGGGTCGGTTAGGGCCCCGGGAGTCGCGCCTAGAGAAACAAGGGCGGCGACTGTCTCCTCTCTATTAAATAAGAGAAACTGTTAACATGAAGCATACATTTTCTCTTCTTCTTTTTTTTTTTAACCACAGTAAGGGAAATCATTAGGAAAAGTTAATCTGAGTTCTTTGTGGTGGGTATCAGAACAGTGAGCAGAGTAGGTGTAACAAAGTGAGGTTTTAGCTTCAGAAGAAATATTCAGGTGTTTAGATGCAAATGAAAATTTAAAGCAAATACCATTACATGTTTTGTATAACAAGCAGTTCAGTAATTTACCTGCCATAGAAAGCAGCCCAGTGAAGTGCGGTCCATCCATTCACATCACGAAAATCTATACTGATTCCGGAAATTATAATTGGCTGAAGGGCCCAATTGAACCCAAGAGCAGCTGACAAGTGCAGAACACCTTGACCCCATTCATCAAGAACTGTTGGGCCCTTGCCATCCTCAGTTACTCGGCGCACAAGCCAAGAGTAAAACTTCTCCTTTAGCTGCTTCTCAAGGAGTACTTGCGGACTCCCCTTCCGCACTGATGTGTCGTCTGAAATCAGCTTTATTTCCTGGTTATTCTCCTCCTCCATCATAGAAACAATTTTATTGACTATATTATGTCTCTCATAGTCATTTCCAACAAAATTAACACAACTAGCAGTAGGTTCACGGGACAATATCATCTCAAATCGCTGATAAAGATGCATGACAATTGCAAGATTAGCATGGCCATAAACAGAACCCATATGGTGCGCTGCAGGTCTGTATTCAAATTCTCGTACTTCACTACAGGCCAACCTGTTCGAACAAGTTACATAGAATGGGACAAGTCCAGGCTCGTGAGGTGGCGCCAGGCAACAAAGAACTCCATCTGCTAAAACTTCAGCTGCAACCTCCTCTTGACCAAACATAATTGACCATCTGCATTTTGGCAACTCTTGTTTACTCTTGAGAAAGATTCCAGAGATAAGTACCTGCATGTGGCAAATAAAATGTATTAATCATAAAACTGATAACAGTGATAAGCATTGTACCATAGCAACATAACACAATGCATCTCTGTTCATGAGATGGTGAAAAAATCCATAAACAAAATATCTAGCAAACTAATAAAGCATCATAAGAAAAACTAACAATAGTCACCCCATACTATGGCAGATAGAAGCAGGACGGACATATTTGATGAAAGGATAGTGTAGGTCGCAGTCTTAAGACAGATACAAGGTGAAATCATTAAGTACCTTGGTTTCCAAGTCTGAATAAGCATAGTTCGGCAAACACTCAATAATGCTGAACAGTTGGTCCTGAGAAATTGACGGGTTCAGTGTGTCTGTATCCGCTTGCAATGTACCAGGCATATTAGAGTCATACTCACTCCCCATGATACTCCATGAAATTCCATTATCCGACTGCAAATTCAGTTCACCAGATCCTCCAAGTTCATTAGCCATCCAACGGGAAAAGCTGTCAACTTTTTTTAGGCTTTCATCTTTCTGCAAGCCACTTATCAATGGCTTTTTCATAAGAATTGAGTAGTTTTCATTTTCTATCATACTCAGAACATTCTCCATACTTGGATTTATAGCGTTTCCAGTCTCTGCATCTAAAGGAGGCATTTGAAGATTCTTTTGCACAGACTGCCCATGAGGAAGGATGCAAAATGGCTCGAAATTCTGTTGATTCAGTGGAAGAGATTTTTCCTCAAAGAAGTTACGTCCATGATCACGAGGCAAACTCGGTATCGAATTTTGGTTTGTGGATGGGTGGTGCAACGAACCGTCTCCAAAGGAATGCTGAACAAGAAATCTAAAATCAATTTGGGAACATATTGGAAAAAAAAAAAAAAAAAAAAAAAAAA